CAAATAATTAAGCAATTAGCACTCAAAATGAAATGAGACACATATTCACAAGCATAATCATGATTAATTATCATAACACAGGACAGGGTTATTACACATAGCTTAATTTTAAAATCATGCTAAGCGTAAAACTAAAATAAAAAAGAAGTAAAAGGAATTTTATCTTTGTAGTAGATGAAAATATTGTTTCAGCTGAGATACAGTACGGCTTGGGTATATACTAGGTACTTTCGTGTACCTGATACATATGCAGAGGCATAGTTATCAAATCAGGATTCGTATCGTGAATCGAAATGATCTCGTACCGAATCGCGAATCGAATCGAATCATGAATGGTAAAGATTTGGTCACTTTTTCTAAATTACTTAAAAACATATATCTACACATTTAGAAGTTAAATATAACTTATGAATATGAAATATTTAGACTTAAATCAATGAAAATATTATTTTGAATGTTAATCACATAGTTCAATAGGTAAAAAATTAACTAAGGTTCCTATGTAAGATCACTATCTTACTTTTTTTCATTTTTAGATATTTCTTATCAACCATTCTTAATAAAGATAATAACCGAATAGACAAACTATCAATTTCTAAAGTGACAATAATTAACAATGATATTGATATTTGGACAATAATCATACATATTTTTCTAAGTAACAGTGAGCAATAATAAGAAAGAATTATGTAGAATCTTTTATTTTAAAGCCTAAATATTTTAAAAGGTATAATTGACCTCACACATGTAATATTCAATTATATTCAATTTAATAAAATAGAAATAAATAATTCAATGTAATTTTAATCTTAAATATCTTTAGAAGATATATTATGATTTTTTGAAGGGAAAAAAATGAGAAGAAATGTTAGAAATATGTTGGGTCTGACTAAATCTGATTGGATCCTATTATAAACTCCATGATCACTAAAATAACAACAAATCATGTATATATGTTGGTTATTTTGGTATTAAACGCTATTAGAAGTTATATTATGTCATTTTCACTAAAAAGATTGAGAAAAAAGAGTCAAAAATATATCAGACACAATAATTTCAAAAATTGCATGAATCGTAAAAAGTGAATCGAATCGTGAATTGATTGTGAATTGTGCGATTTATTAGAGATTCACTTCAAAATAAATTCACCCATAGTTTCATATCGATGTTGTAATAATTACGAATTGAATCGCAAATCATAAGATTATGATAACAGAGTGCAGAAGCGTCATACGAAGTATCATACGCCGGTAAGTATCCGGTACATGTACAACATGTTTGTTGCAGTACCCATGCTTCATAAGTGCACATCATGTGCCCTTTTTGTGGGTGCACATTGTATACTTTTCCTAAATTTTATTAGAAATAAATGTGTATAATAAAAGTTATGAAATTTTAAACAACAAAATAAAAATAATCAGCTGGGAGAAGTTATCTAGTGTTCTTGGGCATGGTCATGTGGTGCCTAGAAGAGCTGTGATTGGTGGAGATGATAGAGCCCACAATTTTGTGTTGGGGTATGGTACATAATATTTGGTAATTGGTGGATAACATTGTCATGTGGTGCACTTGGAATACTTAATATTTCTTCTTAACACTTAATAAATTGACGTTTTTCAATTCCTTCGCCTTTTTATAAGGGTATACACTAACAGTCTCTATAGTTTGGGGTTTGTGTCACTTTGGTCCCTGACTTTTCAATTGCGACACATTTAACCCTGAATTTTGAATCTTATTCCAAAAAAGGACAATTTAAAATTCAGAGTCAAATGTGTCACAATTGAAAAATCAGGACCAAAGTGACACAAGCCCCAAACTATAGGGACCTTTAGTATAATTCGCCCTAAAAAAATTATGTTTTAAAATTCCTCTCTCTAATATGATTGTAGGCTCAAATTTTCCTCTTCTCATTGCACATGTTCCTATAAGAATGCAATTTTAGGGTGTTGTCAAATTGCAACTTTGATTTTTCTTATGGATTTCTTTCCGAATGCATCATTGTGGAAAGGAATCATAATATTGTGGATATGAATGGACTTTCAGACACCTTTGACTCAAACTAGAACTAAGACTGATTTCATTAGGCTATGCTGCCATGGACACTTCTAGGACCTTTTGGATTGTCATTGGGGTCATAATATTTGTTTGAAGCTTCTAAAGACTTTTTTATGGCATCATTTGGCAGAAGAATGACGTTAATGCTCAAAGACTTTTTTATTCCTCTTCCAAACAGTTACTTCCCATCCCTTCTTTTTCTCTCCCTTTATTATCCAGAGTTCCAAACAAGAGGAAGAATAAAATCCTTCCCTTCCCCTCCTACCTCCACTTCTCTTCCTTTCCCCTTCACTTTCATCCAAACACAATGTAAACTAAAGCATGTTGAGTGTTGTAGAAATGTACTAGGGAATAAGTGTAGTTGAGATGAGCATGTTTGAGATAGATGAATTGTGATAAAAAAAAAAAAAGTTGAAATAAGATGTCAGTGATTGACGGAAAGTCGGTAATGTTACCCAATTGTTATGATATAAGAAAGTGCTTTAATGTGGTTTGTGCAATAAAGACTACAGACGCCACCAGTGTGTGAGAATGTTTGAATAAAGTTTAAGGTGCTATGAGGACAAGAGAGCTGATGGGGAAGAAATGCTTCATGTATCTGACTTGGGCATTTGTCAAAAAATGAAAAGGTTTTAAAATTACTCATTTGTTGGCTTATTGAGTTGTGGTACACTTTTTTTGGTGTCCTCCTTTCTTCTTCTGTCTTAAGATGATTTCAAAATTATGTTTAACTATTTTATTTTATTCTTTCTTTTAGAACTACAACGGGAATGATATGCTTGAAAAGTGTGAGCAGGTTTGTGTTTTGTCTTGATCATGGAGGGAAGGGAAGTGCAAAAATCCTATATTTGTATTTGTTTGCACCATAAAACATTTTTCTATCGATTACGGCCTATCGATTGTAGCCAAATTTAATCTTATTGATTGTAGCCTATCGATTATAGCAAAATCCAATCTTGTTAATTATGGCCTGTCGACGTAGACCATAAATCTCCTTTAAAGAGTAATTATGGCCACCGTTTTATTATTATTATTGAAAAATCTAGAAATCCCCTAGATGTTGATTTGTGATTATGTATCAATTTTAAGCAGAATGTAACAATCCCAATCAAACAATCAAGAGAAAGAGACACAACGATTTTACGTGGAAAAACCACAATTGGACACCTCCAACTGTGATAAAAAAAACCACGGCAACAGCAACAAGACAATCCACTAAGAAGAATTAAAGGAATTACACAGGTATACTCTCAATTACCTAGTGAATCCACAACGCCTAATTGAACCAACCTTTATGTGCCTCCTCTAACCCCATCTTCACCACGGAATTGTCTTTCTGATGAGCCACTCCGGATTCCACCAAAGCTTCAGGCTTGAATTCTTCAGAATCCACAACTGAAGAACAACTCTCTCTTTTGTATATAACAAACAAACCTTTGATGTACTCTCTTTAAATCATGAGTTGAAAAACAATAAAAACATCAAAGAAAACTAGCAAAATCTCTCCAGATATAAACCTTAAGATCCAAAAATAAGATCTGGAGAAGTTCAATTAATCCCTAGATTTGAGAGAAAACCAAGTATTTATAGAGAACCAAAAGTAATCCTAGATTGGGAAGAAAACCAACTCCTAAACAAATCTGAAAATCTGGGTTCGCGATCTCCGCTCGAGCTCAACACAGCCCGCTCGAGCGGACTGACCAAAAACTGCGTGCGAACAAACTGAGATGCGCTCGAGCGTAGGAGAATCCGCTCGAGCGTAAAATCACACCCACCAGTATTTTTCAGGCGACTGCAGAGATGCTGAGAGCTTCCAATCCCCGCTCGAGCGTCCCTTTCCCCGCTCGAGCGGAAGGCCAAACTGGAAAAACTGGAAAAAATATAACATGATCGGATAGGCAACTTTGAATGCATTTTTGCATTTTGCTTCGGGGGCGCTGCCCTCGACCCCGCCGTGGCGCTGCCCGGACCCGCCAAGGGGCGCTGCCTCTCGACCCCCGCGAGCTGACCGGGCAGCTCGATCCCCGTCATAATCAGCAAAGTGGCAATCTTGAAAGCATTATCATCACCAAACTTCTCTGAATGGCACAATTCGGGTTGGATTCGCATCTAAACACTCATAGCCTCACTGAAATAAAAGAGCGAAAATAAATACAACTGAAAGGAGTTTTGTCAAACGGGGTTGCCAAAAATAAAACCTAACAATTATTATTTGTCTTATTGCAGGATATGTGACAGCATTTATTTACTTGGAAGTTTATATAAGTTACACAAGAAAGTGGCACCACATTTGAAGCAACTTCATCCTGTTTGGCAAGACACATGAATGGAAAAAGGAAACTGCTCTAAGCAGTTTATTACCGTGGGTAGAGCCTATGAATAGGCAAAGAGGAGATGAGCAAGGAATCACCAAACAAACAAGAACAAAACATATAGATCAATTCCTTGTTTGTCTGTATCTTAGGAGTAGTTTTCAAGTAGTTATGAATTGTATTTGTGGGGACAATTTCAATTTTAGGAGCAGGAGTAATTGTAAGGTAATTTATTTCCCTTAAATTTTAATCACCTTGTACTCTACAAGGTATTACAGTTATGCTTTCGTAGTGGTTGTTTTTAATTCCATTACATACTTTTTCTTTCTCTCTTTTATTTTGTCTATTTTTCTTGGCAATCGTTTAATTGTTGATTGATTGGTGAAATTTGTGTTGAGGGCTAACAAAAATTTTGCTAACAATATCACTTAACAAATTTTGTGCTTGATGAACATTTCAGTTTTTCCTGGAGTTGATGAATGTCCCACAAGTGGAGTCCAAATTGCGAGTGTTTGCATTCAGAGTAACATTTTCCAGTTAGGTATATTGATCTGGGACTTTTTTTTTTGGGTATTATCTGAGAACAAATGCTATTATTATTCTAGCTGTTCGTACTTTAAGCTTCGAACAATTTCAGGTGAATGACTTAAGATGTAACCTGAACACAATCATTGTTGCTACTAGATAGGTACTTCCTTTTATTTAGGTTAGTGAAGTTAGTACTAGTGAGAATTAATTTTCAGTACCTTAATACCATACCCATTATTGTAGGTAAAGGATCTGCAAAATTGTGTCAGATAATGCAGATGATTCTCACTTTAGGAAATGCATTGAACCAAGGCACTGCTCGAGGTATTATTTTGTAAGATTGAAGTTTGATATGAACTGTAATATTTTGTTGGTGGAATGCTTTTGGCATTGATGTCCTCCTTTGTATTTCAGGATCTGTCATAGGATTCAAATTGGACAGCCTACTTAAGCTGTTTGATACTCGTGCAAGGAACAATAAAATGACATTGATGCATTATTTGTGCAAGGTAAAAATTTCAAAATTCTCACTTAAAAAATGTCTCATTAAAATTTTATTTGCATATGTATTATAGTAGATGATGACTTATCTTGCCAAGCTCACCATTATTTAAGTCAGTAATCACTCAATCGTAGCGATCTCCGGAGTTTGATTTATGCCCAGGAGTAGGCATACAATGTTTTTTTTGTAAAATAGAACAATTTAGGAATATGCTTGAAAGGAAAAATGCTAACTCTTCCTTTTGTAAAGGAATTTGTAAAGGAATTTTTGGTTACCTCTTACTATATATTTGTTTGATAACACGTAACACTTAAGTTTTCTTTATGAAACAAAATTTGTTTATCTGACAAGCATGAGTTTTTAGAGAATAATTTTGTATGTACAAATTGATAATGGTTCTTCTTCAAATTGCTTTGCATGTTTTAATTGTTTTCTCTTCTTGAATAGTTCACCATATTTGATTAACAGCTTCCATTTTGTTGTGCATGTTCAACATCTTTTGTATATTTTATTCTTCTGAAGTTTCTCTGAATTCTTATGTGATGCTATGTCAATTACTTTCTTGTCTTCATTAGCTCATTGCCGAGTTGATGCCAGAGTTGCTGGATTTTGATAAGGATCTCGTTCATTTGGAAGTGGCCTCTATGGTATGCTTTTTCCTTAATGTAACAAGTGGATAGGGTGTCTATAGTTGAATTGTACAATTTATTGTGTGTTCCATCCGCATATCAAATGGCCAGATCCAATTGAAGTCTTTAGCTGAAGAAATGCTAGCTGTGAGTAAAGGTCTTGAAAAGGTTGAGCAGGAACTCACTGATTTAGATAATGATGGTACCATCTCTGCAAGCGTAGTCAGTAGCTAGATATGGATAAGGGGGCATAGAATACATATGGGGAGCTACAACAATGGTTAAAGAGCCTAACATAGCCAGGTTAAGACTTGGTTACTCTTTTTTTTCTTCCAGATTTATGTTGGATCTTCGTAGATGTACATAATTCTAGTTTCATGACAAAATTAGTGTATGTGGTCCATAGAATTAAGGCGGGGTGGCTTGCATCTGGGGTACTGTGTGATAAACGAGTACCCACTAGACTAAAAGGAAAGTTTTATAGAACGGCTATGGGATGGAATGTTGGACAACTAAAAAACATGTAGATAAGATGAGCATTGCTAAGATGAGAATGCTAAGGTAGATGCAGTGTTTTAAAAAGCTCTAGACGCATTGGGGCGCCAAGGTCACTTGGAGCCTAAGCGCCAAGGCACAAGGCGAGGCACGCCGTGCGCCTCACCAAAGCGAGGTGCACGTTATAGAAGTTAAGCAAAATATCAATATAGCACAATATATACCACAATTTTCAACATAAACAAATATTTATAGAATTCCAAAATGAACAATATTCAACATTTCAAAAACCATTAAAGTAACATGAAACAACAAACATAAGAACTTAATAATCCACAAAGTTGAAAACAACTAAACATCTAGTGACTAGTCCCATGGATGCATTGTCCTAAGAACTTAATAATAAGCGTCATCTCCATCATCTCCTTCATCATCATTAGATTTATATCCCTCCACATCCTCCTCTCCTTCCTCATCTGAATCTACATCTTCCCATTCCTCTTCCTCATCTACAAGTTGAGGTGAGCTTGAACCAATTGGAGTTGTCCTAGTTGTGGTTGATCTAGTTCTTTGGCTTCTTTCCTCAACTCCTGCTGCTACAGCAACATCATCTCACCCTAAAGAATCATTATCATCATCAAACACAAGCTCATTCTCCATCCTCCCAATCAGCCATTCATTGCATTCATCAATATCTTTCAAAGAGATGGGATCAAATTTGCCACGTGAAATGTATCGACGTTTCAATGCTCTATTATACTTGACACCAAATCATTGAGACGTTTTTGAGCTAGCCTATTTCTTATTTTGCTGTAAAGCTGTAACAATAAATAAAACAAAAAAATTTAAATTCATATATAACTAAAAAAAAAAAATTGGAAGAAAATTTTAGAGTTCCCCAAATTTGACAACGGATACTCACATGTTCAAACACACTCCAATTCCGCTCACAACTAGATAAACTACAAGACTAAGAAATTTGATGGCAAATTGTTGCAACTCGGGAGCATCATGACCATAAGAACTCCACCAATTAGCTATAAATGATTATTAGTTGACACTTCACAAATAATTAAACTATAAGGAATCGACTAGTAACTTAATTTTGTGGATGAACGTAGATCACCTGGTACCCTTGTAGTTCTTTGTCTAATTGCCATAGGTATTCCAAAAATTCCTTCAGCATTTTCATATTTTTTCAAGTCTGTAGTAACTTTATCTTGGGCCTCTAGTGTTGGGATCAACCTTGATATACATTGATATAGGCCTGATACAATTTCTTTGTCCTTTGCAGCCCTTGGATCTTTGTAAAGAAATTCTAGATTTAAATAAAACCAAGCTGCATGTAAAGGGCGATGCAATTGAACATTCCACCTTTGGTCAATGATTTGAAACACATCTTTGTACTTCTCTTCATTTCCATTGAAGCTATTTGCAATAGCTTCCTTAGCCCTATCCATAGCCTCATAAATGTAACCCATTGGAGGCTTTTCTTCACCATCAACCTTTCTTAGTACATGAACAAGAGGACATGAAAATTGGAGGGCAAAGTGACAATGGTTCCAAAATGAAGGCGTTAGTAGTATTTGAGCTGTCTTCTTACCCGGTGGCTCCTTCGCCCATTTGCTTTTGGTCCACTGCTCCGAAGTGAACATCTTCCTCAAATTGTTCCTTTGTTGATAAACCCTTTGTAAAGTTAAGAAAGCCGTTGCAAATCTAGTTTTGGAAGGCTTAACAAACTCCTTCAACTGAGTAAAACGCCTCATCATATTCAACAAAGATGGTCAGTTATAAATGTAACCATGTATCCCAATTGCCCTTTCAAATGTCTTTTTAAAATTGGGTAATTTGAAGATATCTTCCAACATCAAATCCAAACAATGGGCTGCACAAGGCGTCCAATACAAGTGGGGTCCCTTTGCCTCCAAAAACTTCCCTATTAGAAGTAACAACCAAAACACAAAATTAATGATATGAAACGAAATGATTTATGTTGCAAACTAATAACATAATAAGTTTTTCTGAAGATTTCTACCTGCCAACACATTTGCTGCCACACTATCCATAACGACTTGGATCACATTAGCTTCTCCAATTTTCTCCACAAACTTATCAAGCAAATTAAACATCTTATTTCCATCGTTTGAGTAACTAGATGCATCGATGGATTCAATAAACATGGTGCCTCTCGGACAATCCACTAAGAAATTAAGCAAAGTCCTATTTCTCTTATCTGTCCAACCATCGCACATTATAGAACATCCATACTTTGCCCAATCGTCTCCATGTTCTTTCATCAATATGTTAACATGATTGACTCCTTTTTTGAGGTAAGGAACTCGTATCATGTGGTAAGTTAGTGGTTTCAAACCAGAACCAAATTGCCCGATAGCTTCAATCATTGGCACAAAACTATCATAATTCACTACATTGAAAGGAATCCCAACGTCATACATCCATCTTGCAATTCTAACATACGCCTGTTGCATTAACTCTTTCCTATAGGGATCATTTCATCAATTTTACTTTGCTTCCCCTTGCCTTTTTGTTTTTGTGCCACCACATTTGGATCAGGTGTGAAGAAACAATCCATAGGCCCTATCTTCCTAGGCCTTTTAAGTTTGGATTGAACAAAACCGGAGCTGGTTCGTTGAGTAGAACCTTGAGTAGGAATGGAATTTTTACCATGCCGAGGGAGTTCTACAAGATCAGTCTCATCCTCAAAATCTTCTTCATCAACCATATCATCAAAATCGGGCATCAAGTTGATTTGCTCCTTAACTTGCTTTTTTTTAGCCATAAACTCATAAATCTCATCTCTAACCTCAATTGGGCATCTAACACATTTAGTCACATTCCTATACCCTCCAACAAGATGTTGCTTAACTCGACAGACACTCTCATTCATCTCTTTTCCACAAAAATTGCATTTGAACTTACTTAGGTTTCCGAGATTTACCATCGTTGAATACTTCCATGCTGGATCTGTCTTTCCACTTTCAGCACTCGACATTTGACTCATCAAGTTACAAAGGATTGAGAACCAAAGAAGAATAAGCAATTAAAAATATCAAATATGCAATTACTGATTTTTTATTTTTATTTTTACAAGACAAGAAAAGGCAAGAAAAAAGCAGAGACTAGAGAAGAGAAGAATAAAAAAATGAAGAAAAAAGAATAAAAAAAATTGAATAAGAAACCAGCGAAGAGAAGAGATGACAGATGAAAGAAGAGAAGGAGAAAAAATGAAATCAGAGAAGAAGAAGAAGAAGAAGAAGAAGAAGAAGAAGAAGAGAAGAGAGAAGAAGTAATGAAAAACAAAGACGAAGAAGAAGAAGAAGAAGAAGAAACGAAAGAGACGAACCTGAAGACAACATTGATGTGAAGAAGAAGAAGAAGAAGAAGAAACGAAAGAGATGAACCTGAAGACAACGTTGATGTTGAAGCTCACGTCAATGTTGAAGCTCAAATTTTGGTCGCAACAGATTTAGGGCTTCATTGATTCGAAGAAGCTCACCAAAAGATTTGTATTGTATAAGAGTTTTGATCCTATGTGGCTAGTACACAAACACAAAATAGGTCAGTCCTAGCCGAAGTGCACGAAGTTTGCGCTTTGAACCTAGGCGAAAGGCGCGCGCCTCAGCGCCTTTCGTTCGCTTCTTGCAATGCGCCTTGCTTCGTCTACTTCGAGCGGCAACCTTGCGCCTCGTCTCGCTTAGCGCCTGGGCACGCTTTTTAAAACACTGGATAGATGTGTGACAAGACTATAAAAGACAGTGTTAGGAATGAGTATATTTGAGAATGGGTAAAAGTAGTACCGATAGAAGATAAGTTGAGAGAGAATAGATTGAGATGATTTGGTCATATATAATGGCGACCAACAAAGGCAATAGTAAAGAGATGCGATACAGTGACGATAGATGGAAGTGGTAGGGGAAGGGACAGACCAAGATTGACGTAGGTTAGTGTAGTAAATAGAGATATGAATTTCATTAATTTGACTAACCAAATGGCCTTGGATAGAGTCGAGTGGAGAAGGATTCATGTAGCCGACCTCATTTGATGGGACTTCAGGCTTGGGTTGGTTTGGAAAATTCAGTAGTAAATTTGGTTTTATTTTGCTGAGGAATATTAGCCATGTTGTTGAGGATGCTGTGGTAATAGATTAGAATAATTGAAAAGTGGACTTGGCAGAAATTTTCTAGTGGAAGTCTTAGTCAAGGTTGGGAGAGTGTTGCAAACAAAGTAAATTCTATCATCATCATTTTTGTTGTAGAGAGGCTCAGTCACTGTTAAGTAAAAAATTACTTTTAAACAATTATTGAAAATAAAATCATATCCATATGGCTTGAAATCTTAACAGCATTGTTTGTTCATATGCTTTAGATTCATGTCATGTAAGTTTGTGTTTTCAGGTTATGAAATTTAGCTGTTTTCTCCTTGAAACTATTATGATCTTTGGGATTGCTTCTCTTGATTTTGAGCGCGGAGTCTTTGTATTGCATAGAAGTTGAATTACAAAAAAAGAAAAAGAAAAAAGAAAATGCTTGTTTTTAATCCAAAGCTCAGAATCAATACTTGACCTTTCAGGCCTTGAAGAATTTCCTTGATACTGCTGAAGCTAAAGTAAGGTCAATTATCTCCTTGTTCTCTGAAGTGGTGAGGCTTCTTTTCAGTCTTTTCTTTTATTAAACCCTGCTGGTTCTTGCTTAGTTAAGTTTACTGACAAATTTGTCTCGTAGGGAAGAAGTGCAGATTCATTGTCTTAGTATTTTGGCTAAGGTCCAGCTAGGTCCCCTTTTGAACAAGGTTTGGTTTTATTTTCCACATCTATACTTGATTTTTTGTTGCTTTCACTACATTTCTTCTGTTTGATTTGCTGCATGGATTATGTTAGAGAAGTATCGGTATGTAGGTTAGATTAGATGATGGTGTGGTAGTGAAAATGCTAGCATATTTCATTGCATGAGTCTAGGTAACTTGGTTAAGCCAAATTTCATTGAAATAATTCTAAAAGTGTTACCAAAAAATGCTAATACCCTAGAGATTTATATTTTGGAATGTACGTTCCGAAACATGATATATTTTCGTTCCAAAACAGTGAATCCAAGGCAATCCCAATTTTTTTTCCCCCAATCTATTTCCTAAACAGTTTCCGTAGGAGGGAAAACAATTCAAATATGGTGAGCTAAAATCTAAGGAGAGTAAAGTTTTGTAAGGACAAAACACAAATAGTTGGTTGTAATGCTCATAAAAATGTGTTATAACATGATTAAATTGGAAAAAAAGAATTTGATCTATAAATACCTTAAATTCTATTAAAGTAATCTATACAAGTCCACCCATATCGAACCACATATGAGAGCATGTGGCTTACGCGTTCCCGTTCTACATATTGGAACAATCCACATTCTATGTAACTTAGATTTCTAATTATGAGTATAGGATGTTAATTTAAACAAAGAATTGGGTGTTTACTATCATCTTGTTGGTTACAATAATATCTTAAATTGTAATTTTGAGCACATACGATTTGTGGACACAGAATAAGGAATGAGTTCTTAGACCATGATGGTTTTTTTGGAAACTTTCATCTAGTGATGATCCTTAAAATTCTATGTTGACCATCATATACAAATAAACTTTACATTGAGCATTAGACCAAAGTGGCCAAAATTAATTGCTTTATCTTATACAATCAGGATCCTCGGCCACAAAAAAATAAAACATGAAAAATAAATAGGCATATGTCAATTCGGCCACAGAACCTCCAAAAGAATTATGTAAATTTTTTTTCTTTGTTTGTCTTGTCTTCAATTTAATGTTTAAGTTTTTCACTTAATTTAACCAAGTTAATAATAGTTAGAAAATTTGTTGTTATTTTTTTTTTAAATTTCTGCCTACAGTTAAACAAATCTTGGCTGTCTTTGATAAGCTGAGCTGCACATGAAAAATAAATAGGCATATGTCAATGCGGCCACAGAACCCCCCAAAAGAAAGAGTTACGTAATTTTTTTTTTCTTTGTTTGTCTTGTCTTCAATTTAATGTTTAAGTTTTTCACTTAATTTAACCAAGTTAATAATAGTTAGAAAATTTGTTGTTATTTTTTTTTTAAATTTCTGCCTACAGTTAAACAAATCTTGGCTGTCTTTGATAAGCTGAGCTGCAGGCTGATGCTGAAAAGAAGAAATTAGAAAAGGAAGCCATGAAAGAGCTCACAGCAGCCCAATCTGCAAATGATCGCTCAAAACCTGATTTTCAAATTCAGAAACATGCTTGATGAATGGTTAAAAGTGTATAATTATTCTATTATTTTTAGATATTAATTCGCTTCTATAATATTAATTCCTCAGTTTATTTATAGTTATGAGTTTAATAGATTAATTTTACTTTTTGCAGAGTAACTTGTAAATAAATAAAAGTTTGGGTTGATTTGCAATTTTTAGAAAGAAGATGAAAGAGACAAAGGAAGGCGACCATATGAAAATGCTGGGTTCGTGAATAAGGCAACAAGGGAATGGAATGAGGCTGAAGCTGAAGATGAAGATGAAAAATCTGTTCTGGACGGCCTCACTATTTTGGCCACAACTTTTGACTTAAAATTCAGATGAGGTTTGTATCTGTAGATACATATATCAGAGATTTACAACTTTCATCTTTTACAAGACTTCCAATTCCAGCTGTTGCAAGGTCAAAAATGAGCTGCAATTTCAGGTGAACTCCAGCCACCATGTTTGACAAAACTGTCCAACTTTAATTGGCCATAACTTTTAACTCAGAAATCTAATTTAGGTGTACTTTACCTACAACTCTTACTCTTTGAAGAAAATGTGATTCAGTTTTATCGAGGGATAAAAAGTCAGTGGAACAGTCACCTATTTGCAGAAAAACGTAAATTGCTAAATTTTTATTTTTGTTTGATTTGCTTTCCTCTGTAAACAAAGTTCTCATTCTCTTAATTCATATTTTCTATATTTCAAGTGTGTGTTTTTAATTATGAGTAGCTAAGCATTTTGCTAAGGTAAGGAGTGAAGCCACAAGAAGTGTTTGATGTTGGCTAACTATTCTTCATGGTTTTAATGTAAGGTTTTATTTTATTTGATTAGTTATTTTATTTGGAAAAGTATTTTATTTTCTATAATTTTTGATTTATTGTTAACTCCGGGTATGGTGAAGGTTTAGAATTTCCTGCCAGTTAAATTGTTAGTTGACATGTTGAACCAATCAAGTTTTTATGAAATCATCTTTTGAAAAATATTTTTCATGAATTAAAAGTTATTAAACTTTCCGATTGGGTTCAACCTTTGTATGAATCTCAATTGACTCAATTGAGTTGTAAAGTAAGAATTTTTTGCAAACACCATTTGACTTCTTGTGATTGAATCTCCGAACCTTAGTCTCATTCGAACTTCTCTATTCATAATCTCTTTGAACTTACACAATAAATCCCTGTGGAAATGACCTTAGAACTTCTAAGAATTACTATGCTTGACGATGATATTTTTCTGCACTTGGAAATCCAATTATAGTGAGCAATAAAAACCGACAAGCAATGCTCCTTGATCAATCTGTACTAAAGCAGCAGGAAGCCTTTTACTAGTGGTGCCTTTTACTAGTGGTGATGTGGATGATAATATTCAATTGCATGTCCCTTGATATTCATAATCATGAATTGTGCTAGTTATTCCGTGTGACATGTGGCGCTGCTGCAGCTGACACTGCCTTCAACGCTACTAGAATTTGTTTATGAAAATCTGGTGTATCCTCTTATTTGTATATTTATGTGCTTGGTCCATCGGCATTTTCAAGGTCAGTCAGCAGCTTCAAATATGCCTTCCCACCTCCATTTTATCCATTTTTGCAGAACTATCTAATATGCAGAGGACACTCTAAATGTGATATTGAATTTCCAAATTGTCCATATTCAAGTTTCAAAGTAGAAAAATGTTAGGGATCTTAAATGCTCTACTAAATGTTTTACCTCTGAATTCTATACCCATGTGAGACATTTGGTAGAATATTTGGTAAAATATTTTGCGTACCTAGCATTACTCTTCATGGTATACGGGGACAAGTTTGCCAAGTTGTTTTATCCATGTAAAAGAAATCTCTCTCTCTAATATATATATATACTAGTGGGGTGCACATGCGGTGTACATGATTTTCATCTAATGTAATATAATGCAATGCAATTAGCTTTTAAAAGTCCATGCTGCTTGTCGTTATCCTTATAATATAGAGAACAAACTTTAGAATAGAATGAGCATACTACACAATGCACCTCTTTGTAGGTATATTGTATAGACAATTTAGCAAAATCGTGAACAAAATATAATATATAAATTTTAAAAATATATTCAATAAGTTTTTAAACACATAATGTTACCAAAAAGAAGGAAAAAGAAAAAAAAAATGAATAAAGAGTTTTTGGGACTGGTTCTTGTGCAGTGAACATCCTGCATAATAAGAAAGACGACATTATTCATAAGAATCATTCATGGTTCATGTAAAAAATGTGAAATTTATTTTGTAAGAAAGTGAAGTTTATGTTAATGTTGCTATCCATATAGAAATTGCATAAGTAATTTTTTGATATTACAGACCCATTGTTATGAGTGTATTCAACTTCATTGTCAATTTAATTATCAAAATCATTTATACGAATCATAACTAATTATATGTTAAAATTTATTAAAAAGTGCACTTATTTTTGCACTATTAAGTTCTGGTTATGATGTTTGGCCATCATTTGATTTATTCCCTTTTATTATTGTGAGTAATATGTGTATCTGAATAGAAAATAGAAAATAATAAATTTTTTATGCAACCATATTGAACCACAGATAGAGAGAATGAAAATAATTTGTCTTGAAGATAAAGTCCGTTTATATATCAAACTCTGCATGTCTGTTTTTTTAGATAAATAAAAGCATGCCGATTGAAAGTTGTAATCAGTGCACTAGTTTGAGTCCAAATTTAACCCATTTTATATTATATTATATTTATATTTATATAAATAGTGACCATTTTTTTTTAGTCAATTTGATAGGAGATATGAGTAGAGACCTATTCAATTCAATTGAAAATAATATACTAAGCAAACACTATTTTATTTCAAACTTCAACAGCAAACTAATTTTTTTTATAAAAAAAATAGAAATGAAAATAATAATAAATAAATAAATAAAAGAAAGAAAAAGAAGCTTTCAATCTTTTGGTAATTGTAAATAAATTCAAATTTTGAATTTCAATATGATTACAGAATAAATTATATATTTGTAAATGATTAAATTTGGGAGTCTAATTTCTCATTCACTTTTTGAATAAATGAATGTTTTCCGCAAAGGTAGTTATTGTACCGTGATTTTAGGCGAACTTGAAACCCATCTCGAATTTAATTTTTTGGGGAGCATTTGAGAAATTCTCTGACCAGTCACACCGAGAAGGTACTACTCGTCGGTGGCGATGTGGTACTTGCCATAACAACTCTTGAATCGGATGATGACGTCGATACCATCACTTCTGAGTTTCGGGACAACCCCTCGCTATTGATAAATCACCTTTCTTTTGCACAACTTCCTCTCTACTCCCTCACAACCATGTCTTCTCCACCTGTTGCAACCCATCAAGATATTTCACCTTCACTTGAGATTTGAACTCCAACTATTATCGGAGGCAACCAGTTGATGCAATTTCTTTCAACAACTTCTAATGCATGTCATGACCACCATATCCTAGCTAATCTTATCAAGTATTAACCAAATCCACACAAACCAATTTGCAACCCATACTCTGGTGCAACTATTCATACCTTTAATTATTTTCTCTCTTCATATTCAACAAAAGTGTTTTTATTTTTTTAACTTTTTTATGTGGTGAAACGGGTGAGGAATGGGTGTATGACAATGAACGATGCTGAGCTAGCCATGGGTGACGAAAGAAAAGGCAATGATAGGGAGGGACGTTGTCGAACATGATGCTTACGAGAGACAAAACTATTAATTTTTGTTCTTCAATGCAATCTGAACCGTTGAACAAAGAAAATGATGAAGTGACATCATCTCATTTACAAGACTAGACAGTCCAATTTTTTAATAAACTGTAGATAAGCCACTCTCTTGTTATAGTAGTAGATAGATGGAAGCAACAATTTGTACATGCCTTTTCATTCAAATGTAGCAATATTTCATGCTTCTGTTTCATTCAAATCCAATTATAAAGAGGATATTTTCATAATAGAAGAAAAGTAAAAAAGTAATAGATTTATTAAAAATATGTTCATATTATGATGTTTGAAGGTACAAAAGAAAAGTAGAAAAGCAGTAGAATTATTAAAAAAATAATTATATTATGATATTTGAAGGTTTCATACTTACCGTTTCATTCAAATCCAATTATAAAGAGGGTATTTTCAAAATGGAAGAAAGTGGAAAAGTAGTAGAATTATTAAAAAATTAATTATATTATGATATTTGAAGGTGTAGAAGAAAAGTAGAAAAATAGTAGAATTATTAAAAAAATAATCATATTATGTTTAAAGATATTTGAATTCCAAAAGGCGTTTGGTTGTTCGGTAGATATAAGTTACTGCATGATGTTTAATAAATTTAAAAGGATATTTTTAGAATATGAAAAAAAATTTAAAATATATATACTTTTCATTAGGGGTGTTCGTTGTATGGTTACGGCCGGAGAACCTCCAATCCGCCATCTGTCCGTTGGATTGGTGGATTGGAAAAAATCAATTCGCATCTGTTCGTCGGATTGACGGATGCAAATTGAGCGGATTGGCGGATGGATGCGAATCGGTTTGACAGTTTAAACCTTTACAAATTTTAAACATAATACAACAACTTGTCAACATTTTTTTTTTTGAATAACAATCCAACTCAACGTACCAAAAGATTATCAAATAAATTGTCAAATACCAATAATAAATACATATAAGAAAATTATGCATTATCAAAATTATTTCATTACGTTTTTTATTCAAAAACTATTTAATTTTATTTTTTTTTAAAATGACAAAATTAAGCCTTATATTTTTCACACAAAAATACCAAGATCAATACTCGTCATTTGATAAAAAGATTTCCAAATTAAAAACAAATTGAAAACACAACAGAATATCTAAACTTTTTTCAATTGAAAACACAAATAGAATATCTGAAAAAATTGAAAACACAAAGTCTTACAAATTACTAGAGGTGTTTGCAGTTTGGCGGTACGATTGCGGCCAAAGGAACTTCAAATCCACCATCTGTCCAAAACTAGGCGGATTAAAAAAAATCAATCCGCAACCGTTCACTCGTCATCATGCATCCATCTAAAATGCAACTGATCGATTTGCGATTCAATCAGTTTGGACAAATTAAAATATCCGCTACTCACCCTTATTTTTCATACTTTTAAAATAGTAGTAGTTATTTATATACACCAGAAGTGTCGCACTTATGTAAGTGAGTTTCATTAAATTTTTAAGCATTCAGTTATGAATTCAATTTTGAATTTCTTGCATCCATAACTCCGCGTTAAATTACTAATTGCATAAGCACATTTTTAAATCCACAAGGACAGTCCATACAAAATGACTATGTGTTAGGAGTTGAGATCCTCTCCTTGAGCTCTCTCCTTACCTCCCTGCTTGCAATGGTTTGAATTTATTTTATTTATTTTTAAATAGTTAAAACTGAATCATTAGATTAACTCACGATACATCTCTACCGTTGCAAATAGGGAGATAAGGAGAGATATCAAAATTCTAAGTGTGCAAAGAGATATGCCTATTTTAGTGAAGGCTTCTCATTTC